TCTAAATAATGTGTTCATGCAACACTGCTATTATTCAGGTATCTGAGATTCTAATCAGGAAGATCAGCTCAGTAATATTTTTATACATCTTTTAAATATCTCTTTTATTCCAAAAATTTCCTGTTAAGATTTTTTTAGGGCAAAGAAGGAGGAACCTTATTCAACTGTGAGATAATTATGATTCAAAATGACAGGTGCTTACACGGTCTGACTGTTTTTGCTTTCATAACATCAGGCTGAAGTCTGTTAGGCTTGGCCTTTTTAATGACTGCTGTGCAGCTGCCACTTCTTCTGTTTCATACTCTCACTTGGGCTTCTTACTCCCTGGGACCACTCAATTACCCAGGATGCTTCTCGAGCCTGCATTTTTTACCTGCTTCATCAGTTTCCTTTCACCAGTTTTACTAATGTTTCTCATGTACTCTGGATTTGGTGAGAATACCAGGAGTTTTGTTCATTTCCCTTGCTTCTTGTTAAGTTATTATTTAACAGTTCTATAGTTTTAGCTTAATTAATTTATTTATTGGATGCATTGGGTCTTCATTGCTGTGCGTGGGCTTTTCTCTAGTTGCGGCGAGCGGGTGCTACTCTTTGTTGCAGTGCAAGGGCTTCTCGTCGTGGTGGTTTCTCTTGTTGCAGAGCATGGGCTTCAGTAGTTGTGGCTCGCGGGCTCTAGAGCGCAGAATCAGTAGTTGTGGCGCACGGGCTTAGTTGCTCTGTGGCGTGTGGGATCCTCCCAGACCAGGGCTCGAACCTGTGTCCCTTGCATTGGCAGGCGGATTCTTAACTACTGCGCCACCAGGGAGCCTTGTTTTAGCTTATTTTAAATGTTCACATTTGTTTTGTATTTCAATATTTGTTTAGATTTATTCACATACTGACTTCTTGCGTACCTCCTTCAGTCTTCACCTCTGGGTCTCATTTGTTTCTTCCTGAAAGCACATCCAACTCTTCACTCATCTGTTCCTCAAGGGTACTGACCACTTCTGGGCTTCAAGCTGCCTTGGATCAACTCCTGCCTTTCACAACAGTCCTCTCATGCTCGTGTTTGGGAATGTTTTCTTCTTCAACTTCATCCTACCTGCCTTCTGTCTCTCAAGGCTTCATTATAATTTCTTGTCTAATGAACCCTGCTGTCTTATGGTCTAAAACAGATGTTGATTCATTCATTTTAAAAACATCTTTTCTGTCATCAGCAGGCAAAAAGGAGATACCATGGCATGTGCTCAGACCTCAGGCTTCAAGTGGAAGTCCCACAAGTGTTGATCGCTACATTTTTTTCATTCATGAATGTATCAATTAAAAATCAGGCCAAATATCTTTTAACTGCGGAAATATACATAATCATTTCTCACAGCTATCCCTGACAGTAAGTCTGAAAGCCACTCTCATAGCTATCCCTGACAGTAAGTCTGAAAGCCACTCTCAAGTAGTAGAAAGAACATGGGTTTTTGAGTCATATAACTTGGAGCAAATCTTGATTTCATTATATTCTATTAGACTTCAGGTAGTTATTTAACCTCCTCATCCATAAAATGGAGATGATTATACTTATGTATTTGGAGATTATATAAACAAAGATTATATTAGATTTCCCACAGATGTTATTTTCCTCTTTTGCTATATGGACAATAAAGAATTAAATGTTTCAAATTTTTACTTGTGTCATAAACTTCATCTTCCATTGCATTAAAGTTTTTTTAAAAAGTCCAGTAAGTAATACAGCATATAGCATAGAGTTTGATTTTATACATTCTACCATTCTTTTGTTTTCTGTAATTTTTGTTTTTCTCTATTAGTTGTGATCATATTGAGTTTTAAAATTTATTGTTTTGGCTTTTTTCCTATGCTAATGATATACCAGTGGAATAATGTAGTTGACCCTTGAACAGCGTGGTGGGGGGAGGTTAAGGGCGCTGACCCTCTCTGCAGTTGAAAATCCACTTGTAACTTACAGTCGGCCTTTCATATCTGCAGTTCCTCCACATTTGTGGATTCAACCAACCATGCATCGTGCCGTATATGCAGCATTTACTACTGAATAAAATCTGTGTGTAAGTGGACTGGTTCAATACAAACCTTTGCTGTTCACGGATCAGTTGTACATTAGAGATGTCAATGAATGTGGAAAACTTCTAAACTACATACTTTTAAAATGAATTAATAGTAATTGATAAAGATTCTACTTTTGACAAAAGACAGAATAAACCAGATTTCATAATACAAACATTGACTGCACTTTAAAAAAGTGCACTGGAATAGCCTTATTTTAGCAATTAAGGATTTTTTAAAGAGCACAGTTTCCCCCCTCAAAAATTTGGTTAACAGAACTATAGGGTACACATTAAAGGAGCTTATGCAAAAATAAAACTGAAGTAATTAATTTTGAAAAAAGAACTAAATTTTATGTTGCTTTCAAAAAGGTAAAAAAACAAAAAACCCTTTCATCTAAAGTCAATAACAGCTCTACATGGTTACAAATGATCTGCCATCAATACAGCCATCTCTGAATGTCACTTGTTTAGCTACAAAAATTAAGGATCAGACACAAATGAAAGAATATTATGGGCACAAGTAAAATTAAAAAACTACTTACTTAAAAGTCAGGAAACTCAACTTATAACCAGTAATTCAGCAACACAACACATATTTATAAAGACCCTTCTAGGATAACATATCAGGGGCCTAATGTACATTCAAATCAAGCCACCTTTTCATGAACTTATTTAATGTAGAAGATTCTTTCTTAACAGTGGAATCTTATAGCCACAAGGTCTCAGTCACCTAGAGCATCATGTTTTGGGAATAAGAAATATGGAACAATGGTTTTGGCTCTCTCTATCATAAGAATAATTACATCTTGTTCTGTTTGTCCTAGGAGGAAAGAGAAGCTTATCAGAAAGGAATACAGTTCTGATCTACAGTTTGAGATCTGGCTAGGAGGGAGGAGCTTGCTTAGCGGCATTTCATTTAGTAAATGACCAGAGCCCTAAACTAAAAAGGATCCCATGGAGTTTTTTATTTTCAAAGAAAACCCTTGGCTAGATAGAAAAGGTCAGGGAAAGAGGGAGAAAGAAGGGGAAGGAAGGAACCATTCATTTCTTGTTTGTTTTAATTCTGACTTATGAATTTATTAATTTGTAATTGATATAGCTGACATATAATACTATTAGTTTAAGGTATACAACATAATGATTTGATATGTTTATATACTGTGAAATGACTACCACAATAAGTTTAATTAATATCACTTCACATAGTTTAAAAATTGTTTTCCTTTGATGAGAACTTTAAAGATCTACCCTATTAGCAACTTTCAAATATATCAATAATACAGTATTAACTGTTTCTTTTGCTCTACACTTAGCAGATAGATTGAGGCCAAGGGAATTAAGTCAACACTGAGGAAGAGCTCAGAAATATCCAAAAAAGAAGTCAGATGCTGATCACGTGACTTATGCCCATGGACAAGCTGTGCCTCGACTGTAGACCTATGTGAGTCAACACGATCTCTTTAATGCTTAAGCCTGTCTGAGCTGGGTTTAGTTACTTGCAATACAGGGTCCTAACCAACAAAATATTGAAATTATAAAAATCTTTCATGAAATGTAAATTAATATCTGTAGCCTTCGACAACCAGTTTTTAACATAATATGCAAAAATATTCCCCCAGGGATGAAATTATCCAGTAGTTTTCAAAGGTACTTTTTAATCTTTTCATGGCTGTTGTGGAGGAATAGACAGCAAGGAGAAAGACAGTGGCTGGAAATCTTTGTGAGTACATCCTACCACAGATTCTGGATCCATTACAGTGGCAAAGAATAATATCCCCCTTTATTTTGGCTTTTCATATCAGTACGGTGTATAATATGGAAAAACTCCTGTTGCCATATGCCAAAACCTCCCAACCCCTCCCCCGCCCCAAACTTTCAAAAACCACCACCACCACACATTTAAAGGAATCCGGTAGTTGTGTTCAACAGGAAGGTATGGGTAAACCCCCTAGTTTTAGAGGACCTGAATTAACTGCTTTCAGACAGTATCTTTGAAAAGTTGTCAATGAAGTGTTGAGACAAATGTGCTACTTTCTCATTGTTCTCCAAATCTTACTGAAGTTCAATCTATGAAGCATAAAATCCTCTTTAGTCTTAGAGGTAATAAAAGCTACTATTTATTGAGTACTTATTATGTGTCAGATACCGTGGCAAAATGCTTCATATACATTTACTCATTTAATTTCTAATTCTTTCTTCTTTTAGCAGGGCTTATTTTTAAAATTCCAAATGAAATGTTATGAACAGCACTTTCCCGAGTATGGCCATGAAATGATAACCTTGGGATTGATACTGGTGCCTTATTTTATGAAGATTTCTCGTCTTCCAAGATTTGCAGGTCCCATCTTATACACCTAGAATGGTTGCAACTGACTGGTTAATTTCTGAGGCTGGACGTTGAACTTCATCTAAGAGCTTGTAATAGCAAAGGTAAAACACTGGAAAACTACAAATTTACCATGATCTCAATCACATCAAGAAACCTTGGAGAGCCCTTACAGCAATCTGCCTCTAATAATCTTGCTCAGTACGTACTACAGAAAATGAAGTTTATACAAATTTCAAACCAGCGTTACTCAAAGCGTGGTATGTGAATATGGTACCAGTCTGCAAACTGTTACTAGCATGGGACAACATTTTCTATATTACTGATTATTAACTACCATGCCTAGTTTGGCTAACTTTTTTTAAATAGCAAGATATTCTTGATGAAGGAGACTGTGTTGACTTATTTTCTAGCCCAACCTCTTTACCCACCATGAACTGGTAACAAACAGCTTGTGGACCAGCTGTTTTGAGCAACATTGCTCTAGACCTCAATTTTGGATATTACCTCTAGTTTTTCTGTCCCTGATGCCACACAAAATTTAAATTAACAACCAAATACTTAGCTTAAACAGTTACATAGTAGTGGAAAAAGCAATAAAAATCAGCAATTGACCTCACCTTTGACAGAAGCAATTTCACACAGGAAACATGACCTTCATAGACGGCAGACAGAAGAGGTGTAATATGATGTTTATCTGGAGCCTATGAAATAATAAAGATATAGATCACCTCATCCATTTTTCATTTATTCCTTCCTTCTAGATCTAATTAGGGAATGCTCATAAATATTTCAAAATCAGTGTTTACCCATTTTTAGCCTCTTAGGAGCTGCTAGAGGCCCAAGCCCACACGCAGTTTCTCCTTGGGAGTCAGCCTAGTGAAACAGATGGAGCAGGGCTTTGACCCCATCTCAAATCTGGGCTCTGCCACTTACTGCATGACTAATTACTTAACCTCTCTGAGCCTCAACTCCGCATTACTGTAGACGTGCCAATGTGGTGCAGGAAGGGAATCTCGAGAGGTGTGGAACATAGCCAATGAAGAGGTAAAAGACTGCCACAGTTGGGCCACGTGACATGGTATCCCCTGAGATGTGAAAAGTTCATCTCACTTGCTGTCATGGTTACTTAAACATTTTTCTAAAACTCTGAAATGCAACAGCTACAAAAGGCAAGAGTCAAGAGATGACTGCTGTCTGACTTTTGTCCAAAAATCCAGTTTAGATTTCTCATGACTGCAGAGTCCTATGCTCCATTGGGTGATAGCTATTTGCCACCTACAGATAGTGCTAACTCTCACGTTGCTTTAGAACCTGAAAAGGAAACATCTACCCCCCAGTTTTATCAGTTAAAAAAAAAAATCAATTTGTTCTGCTTATTTTTTAAAAAATCACAACTATGTATTTCTAAGTTACAGAAATTTGGTATAATTTCAGACTATATTCTTACTTCATATGAGGTTTCCACCAGTAACTATTTTATAAATCTACAGAAAACAATTACCCAAAAGCATACAAGAATTTTTTCTAGAATGACAATGTTCTTTACATACGTTAATATCTGCTCCTTTCAGCAGCAGAAATTCCAGGATTTCAAGCTGCCCACAATCTGCTGCATAATGAAGAGGCTTCCTTCCACCTTCTAGTGTCCGGTTGACGTCTTCTCCCTTATAAAAGAAGCCAAATGAAAACAACATGCATAAGGATGGTAGACTGAAGAAGGGAATTGAGGCACCTGCTATTTTTACTTTCTTAAAGCTGCAAGGGTTTCATAAAAGAATTACATTTCTTGCAAAGTGAGATAAGTAACCAAGAACTTTAAATTCTGTACAAGTAGCACACAGTATGACAGCAATTCAAATCATGATTAGTCAAGCTGAAAACAATAAAAAAATGCTAAATGTAATGAAATCTATTATTGTGCTCTATTTCTATTTCTAAGGAGTTCAATCAGCACGATGTCAAGATGTGGCCACCAAAGACTGATGAGTTCAAATACTTAGATTTTACACAGATCATATGACATGTATTTTAATACTTCAGAGAAAGCATCACTACCTGGATGGAGGCAGACATCATCATCACAAGGTAATGAGTATTAGCTATTAAGAATTCATTTCATTCATTCAGCATTTAAGCGCTATTGTATGGCCGGCCCTGTGCACACAGCGGACAACAGTGAGCAAAATCAGAAATGGCTGCTGACTGCACGGAGCTTACCATCCAGTGTGGGAGGCAGATTTTAATCAAATAATCACAAGACTAAACATAATGGAGATAACAATACCTACATCTAATGGAGTTGTGGTGAGGGTTAAACTAAATGATCCATGTAGAGCACTTAAGATATTATAGCTAATATTAATAGAAAAATGATTAGCTATTATTATAAGTTACCTATGTACATATGAGATATACTCAAATTCTGAATGAAATCCATTACTCAGTCTTTTCTTTTTAATGTTAAGGGTCACTATAAAGATAATGCATCAGTTTTTCAAACCATGAAGTTATTAAATTCAAACAATTTGAAATCTTTAAATATATAGAGGTATTTTTTTTTTTTTCCGTTAAGGAAAAAGTTTAACTCCAGGGTTTTACGTCCTCCAGTAAGTATCAGAGTGAGCTATATTATCTTACTTATTATTCAAGGGCTGGTACTTAAAAAAAAAAAAAAAAAAAAAGCAGCATTCCAAGAGGTGAGATCACGTGCCTGTCACAACAATCAGTGGAGGCATCAGAGCTTTAAGTCAGGAAATGAAATTACACAGAGTGTTCCCGAGTTCCAGGCCAGATGTACATTTCAAATATACTGTCTCTGTGGAGAATCAAGAATTTCATCAAAAATAATTGTCCTCTTTTGAATTAATGATAAAACAACCCTTTTCTGTTAAGAGTACTTGAGTAATTCACAGCAATAACCTTTAATGGGTTGTTTATTCAAGTCAACATGTGATTTTACAGTAAAATAGGGCCTCTTATAAAGTATATGAATATAGAAGAAAGGTGTATAACATACTTAAGATCAACGAAGGCTGGGTTAGAGCTCCAATTCTACCAGTCAGTTGTAGGACCTTAGACTAGTTACTTTCTAAATCTTTGTTTTCTTATCTGTAAAATGGGACTAAAAATAAACCTCACGGGGGAGGGGGGGGGTTTAGTGTATCATCAAATGAGATAATCCATGTAAAGTATCTACCACACTACCTCACAGGGTAATATGTTTAACAGAGGTTAAATATTATTGCTGTGCATTCCTAATGTTGGTTTATACTGGTTCTAAAAGATTATCCAAAATTAGGTTAATGCAGGTTTCTGCATAATGGTTGAAATACAAAGATATGATTTATTATAATATACTTTATATTCAGAAACAAATTTAAACGTAAGGGTGACTTGGTGTACCACCTTAGTCTTTATTCACAACTGTAGAAATGTGAGGCTTTGAGGCAATGAGGTACTCCTTCAAATGATTTGGATAAAACTAGTTTTCCTTTCATTATTATTTCCTTTCCATTATTTACATTACCTGGAGAGGATTAACTGGAGAGGATTAACTGGATAGGCCTTTTCAGTGAAACAAAGTAAAGAAATAACTGCAGTAAGTATTCAACAAGATAGCTTTGTCAAAAAGGTATTTTCCTGGGTTTCCCTGGTGGCGCAGTGGTTGAGAGTCCGCCTGCCGATGCGGGGGACACGGGTTCGTGTCCCGGTCGGGGAGGATCCCACATGCCGCGGAGCAGCTGGGCCCGTGAGCCATGGCCGCTGAGCCTGCACGCCCGGAGCCTGTGCTCCGCGACAGGAGAGGCCACAACGGTGGGAGGCCCGCGTACCGCAGAGAAAAAAAAAAGATATTTTCCTGAGTCAAAATATGCAATATCTTCCTTCCTTACTTAGTACAAGCATGCAAAATGCATATGAAAAGGAACTGTTGTGAGTTTAAACTTTCTCCTTTATCCCTGCAGATGCTGCTTTACAATTCTTATTTTAGCAGACAAAAGTGACAATACTGGAAAGGCTTTGTGTGAATGACAGGAAAGAAAGGATTTTCTTCTGCAGGCCTTTGCAAAAGCAGTACTTACTGAGAAATTTATAGTACTAAATGCCTGTATTGGAAAAGTAGAAAGGCCTCAAATTAACGATCTTTGTACTTCTACCTTAAGAAACTAGGGGGAGGGCTTCCCTGGTGGCGCAGTGGTTGAGAGTCCGCCTGCCGATGCAGGGGACACGGGTTCGTGCCCCGGTCTGGGAAGATCCCACATGCTGCGGAGCAGCTGGACCCGTGAGCCATGGCCACTGAGCCTGCGCGTCCGGAGCCTGTGCTCCGCAACGGGAGAGGCCACAACAGTGAGAGGCCCGTGTACCGCAAAAAAAAAAAAAAGAAAGAAACTAGGGGGAGAAATGACATATGGAAATCTCTGTACCTTGCTCACTTTTGCTATGAACCTAAAAAATGCTCTAAAAAATAAAGTCTATTAAAAAATTAAATTCAAAATAAGCAGAAATCAATGAAATGAAAACAGGAAAATAATAGAAATCAAAATCTGATTCTCTGAGATCAATACAACTGATAAATCTCTAGCCAGAATGATCAGAAAAAAAAAAAAATGACAGAAAGTGCTAATATTAGACTTCACAGACTATCTTCCCACAAAGAAACTCCCATGCCCCAGGTGGCTACACTGGTAAATTTTTACCAAACATTTAAGGAAAAAAGAGTAATACCAATTCTACATACTCTTCCAGAAAACAGAAAGAACCCAAACTCATTCTATGGGGTGAGCATTACTCTGATTCTAAAATGAGACAAAGACTTACAAGAAAAGACCACCACAGGCTAATGTCCCTCACGAACACAAATTCTAAACAAAATTTGAGCAAACTGAATCCAACACTATATAGAAAGTATAATAGACCATGACCAAGTAGTGTTTACCCCAGGAATACAAGGTTGGTTGAATATTTGAAAAAGTCAGTCAACATAATTCACTATTTTAACATCTAAACAAAGAAAAATCATATAATCATCTCAAAAAGTATCTGACAAAATCCAACATCCTTTACTGATAAAAACTCAGTAAACTAGGAAAAGGAGGACACTTCCCTGGCCTAATAAGGGGCTTCTACAAAAAAAGTACAATTAACATCATACTTAATTTGTGACAGATTGAATGCTTTTCTCCTAAAATCAGGAACAAGACAAGATGTCAGTTTCTACCTTCTATTCCACACTGTGCTGGAGGTTCTAACCAGTGCAACTAGGGAACAAACAAACAAACCCCATCTCTTTTGAAAAGGAAGCAGTATAACTGTCTTTATTTGCAGATGGTGTGATTGTCTATGCAGAAAGTCCAATGGAATCTACCAAAGAGCTACTAGAACTAATAAGTAATTTTAGCAATGCTGAAGGACAAAAGATCAATATACCAAATCAACTGCATTTTTATATAGCACTGGCAATTAATAATTGCAAATCAAAACTAAAACCAATATTATTTACAATAGCATACAAATTTATGAAATACTTAGTAAGTCTAACAAAAAATGTACAGTATCTATATACTGAAAACTACCAAACACTGCTGAAGAGAAATTAGAGGATCTAAATAAATAAATGGAGAGATACACAGCATGTTCATGGATTGGGAGACTCATTACTGTAAAGATGTCAGTTTTCCACAGATTGATGTATAGAGTCAATGCAATACCAGTTAAAACTTTAGCAGGCTTTTTAAAAAGAAATTGACAGGACTTCCTTGGTGGCGCAGTGGTTAAGAATCCACCTGCCAATGCAGGGGACACGGGTTCGAGCCCTGGTCCGGGAAGATCCCACATGCCGCGGAGCAACTAAGCCCATGTGCCACAACTACTGAGCCTGCGCTCTAGAGCCCGTGAGCCACAACTACTGAGCCCGCATGCCACAACTACTGAAGCCCGCACGTCTAGAGCCCATGCTCCGCAACAAGAGAAGCCACGGCAGTGAGAAGCCTGCGCACCACAACAAAGAGTAGCCCTGCTCTCCGCAACTAGAGAAAGCCTGTGCACAGCAACGAAGACCCAACGTAGCCAAAAATAATAAATAAAATAAAAATTTTAAAAAGAAAGTGACAAACTGACCCTAAATTTCATATGGAAATACAAACAATCTATAACAGCCAAAACAACTTTGAAAAGAAAGAACAATTTGGAGAGCTAACACTACCTGATTTCAAGAATTATTAAAAACTGCAGTAATCAAGAAAGCATGGTATTGGCATAAAATTATAAAATATGCAAACATATATACTGATAGAAAGCAGATTAGTGGTTGCTTATTTGGGGGTAACAGAAGGGAGGGACTATGAAGGGGCACTTGAGGGTAATGAAATCTAGTCATTATCTGGACTACGCTGATGGTTTCATGATTGTATACGTGTCAAACAGCAAACTGCACTCTTTAAATATCTGCATTTCTTACACTTCAGTTACACCTCAGTAACACAGATTTTCCTAAATCAAGTCTCTGTGGCTCTAATTCTTGTAAAATGAGATGCTAACAAATCAATATTTGAGGTGGAATAGGTGTAGGAATGAGTAACAGTACCTTCATGGGAGACTTAAAGAGCAAAAGCTATTTGAGGTCAAGTTCCTTCATTGTTAGTGCTGAATGAAAAGCTCCTGACCTCTG